TGAAGGAGGGAGGGAGGGAGGGAGGCAGAAAATGAAACAGAGAGAGAAGCAGATAAAATGAAAAAAATGAAAAAAAAAACAAAAACCACCAACCTTACACCCCTTGTGATCTTTTCTGACAAAACCTGACATCCTGTTTTCATAGAATCTGCACCTCTGAATTTTTGTCGTAGGGTGGCTGAAAAAGCAAAAGCTTTTCCTATCTGCCCTGGTGGAACAAGATGAGGAGCCCAAAGGTAACCACCACAGTCAGTGTGAGCTTGCTGAAGGTGTTGAGGTGGAATCTTTTAGCTTTTCACTCTAAACTGTCTCCTAAAAGCCACGAAATCCACCTGAGCTGCCACTGTACCAGGGGGAACAAGAGGGGCTGTCCTGCAGTGTGTAGGAAGTTAGTCTGGAGGCCAAAACTTTCCTTTGGGCTCAGTTTTCAAGTCCTCCTGCCCGTATCTTATGTGGCTCCTGCTTTGGTCTTCTCAGCCTAAGGCAATGAACAACCCAACTGTGGAATACTAAACCCAATGTCACATCACACCCTGAGGCTGAGCTTGGAGCAGATCAGGGTGGAAGCAGGGAGCAGAATTTGTCCTTTGCAGTGATGCCAGTCCCACTGTGGGAGCCTTTGCAGAGCTGCCCTGGCTGGTCCCCAGCCTTTCCAGCATGGCCAGAGTGGGTGAATTGGTTTGAGACAGTTTATTCTGTCCTCATTGCAGGTATCAGTGTTCCCTCTGGAGGACAGGACACCTCACCCCGTGGACTGGAAAGATCACTGGACTTCAGGTCAACTGAAATGAGCCCTCATTTTTTCCCTGCTTTGGCTGAAGTTCCCCTTGGGACACCTGGCCAGCTTGAGCTGGTTCTCCAGCCACTTGGAGAACCTTCAGAACTATCTGAAGCCTGGTGGGGAGAGTATCTCCATTTCCAGGGAAAGCTGCTGAAAGAGTGACACAGGAAATGATGAAGGATTCTTGACGTCATGGCTTAAGTTAACAGGAGGATGAGGTGGTGTCCTCTCCTTTGGAAGTGCCAGTCTCCATTGTGCACAGAAATGGGACTGAAGAGCTTCTCCCATCTCAGCCACATTTCAGGGACATGGAAAACTTTCATTTCCTCCCTGGCATCTCGGAGTGTAATTTGTTTCACTTACACCCCTGTGGCTTTTTGCATCATCCTTCCTTCTCCTTCCTTCTTCCATCCTTCCTTCTAGCAGAAATCTCTCTTCTGAATCAAAACAACCCAGACAAATTTTTACTACCCTTGAGCATTCCTTGCAGCTGAACATCCGTTTCCATTTTCCAAATCCCAGAGTACAACTGAGCTGATCCTTCGGCAACATGAGATGCTGGTCTTTCACAAACCCCATGCAGGCAACACGGCGAAGGTTAAACCCAGCAAAGGAGGAGCAAGGTGAGCCTGTGAGCTGTGTGTGCTCAGAGATGAAGAAGAGATGAGGAGATGAAGAGATGAAGAGATGAAGAGATGAAGAGATGAAGAGATGAAGCCCTGGGGCTGCTCTCCCCTGCCAGCCACAGCTCTTGGTGTTCAGGGTCCTCACTTTTGGCAGAGGACGAGCAAGCGCTCACGTGGCGTTCACGGGGCGCCTTTGCTAAGGGTTTAGGGGAAGGTTTGCACATCTCACAGTGTTGCCTGGTGTTTTTAAGCTAATTAAACAGCGTGCTGAATTTTTATCTGCCCCTTTCCGTAGCCATGCCAGCCGGGGCCACCCGATACCCCTCTCCAGGTTGGGTTACACGGGCTGCCCTCGATGCCGCGCGCGGCGGCCGGCTGGAAACCTTCCCCGAGCACAGAGGCTCAGCAAACTCCGAGTTTCCTTTGGGTTGCTTTTGATAATGAAGAAGGAAAACAGTTTTGCTTTTAACTATGACTTCTCAGGAAGAGGTGAGTGAAGCTTTGGGAGCATGTGATAGCCTCTGAATGAGCGAAATGTCAGTGTTTGGCTTGCATGTAATTTAGTTCACAATGCTGTTTTGTTTCCTGATGGGCAAATTATGCCCCAGCAAGAAGGCTTTTTTGCTTTTAATATTCAACAATCATGCTGGCAGATTCTCTACAAAGTTTAATTTATGTTCAATGAAAAGTAGGTGAAATTTTACCAAATGAAAGAGCATAAAACTTATTACTGAAACGTAAAAAAATACTCCAGGTTATACTCCATTATAGATATAATGTCACAGGTAAAACATGTATTGTTTGCGTAAAATGTGTTACTGTAAGCATTTTCTGGGACTGACTCTGCAAAAATACTCCTTTTACAGCTTACTACCTCCAGTGTCTTTAACAAACCCGAACCTATTTCACATCACTCTGAGTTCAAATATCTGATTATTTTTGCCATTGTGCAGAACCAGAGTTAGAAATTAGCATTTCCCTGTGTAGTAAGTTATCAAAAGTTTACTGGAGTGAAATTCCCCTGAATGAGAATCCTGTCAGGCGCTGTGTTGCTGTCCTATGCATTTTAGTCTTTCTCTTGTTTTCTGTTGCAATTATAGAGCAGGGGATGGATTCACAGCCTCAGTGTGAGTTATTAAAAGTAGCTCTGGTGCTTAGACAAATCTGATCAAAAACTAACCTCAGTAGTTTGCTGGTAAATTAATTAGAAGTGCTATTCTCATGAAAATTAAGTACATAACGATGTATTGTGTCCAGCTCTGAGGTCCCCAGCACAGGAAGGACATGGACAGTGCTGGAGTGACTCCAGAGGAGGCCAGAAAGATGCTCAGAGGGCTGAGGCACCTCTGTTATGAGGAAAGTTTTGGAGAATTGATGTTGTTCATCCTGGAGAAGAGAAGGCTCTGGACAGACCTTGTTATGGTCTTCCAGTACTCAAAGAGGGCTGCAAGAAGATTTAGATGAAATGTTAGGAAAAAATCCTTCACTATGAGTATGGTGAGGCCCTGGCCCAGAGAATTTCTGGATGCCCCTAAATCCCTGGCAGTGCCCAAGGCCAGGTTGGGCACTGATGCTTGGAGCAGCCTGGGGCAGTGGAAGGTGTCGCTGCCATGGCATGGGGTGGCACTGGATGAACTTTAAGGTCCCTTCCAACCCAAACCATTCTGTGCCTCTAAGACAACATTATAATTATTATTTTAAATAATAATAATTATTTATTAATTATTATTTTATTTCTTTTATCTTTTTTTTTTTCCCTCTTCTGTTGAGTCAGGTTCAAGAGACAAATCCCACTACTGGAAGTCTTGAAATCATCTCCGTTACAGAAGATGAACCACCAGTACCACAAATTCAGTTTACCTTCAAAAGATTTTTCTTCATACCACAAGCAAGAGTGGACCCGAGTGCAGATGGATCTGGTAGGGACAATCCACAGCCCTCTGACCTTTGCAATCCCAGTGGCCACTGTGTGCCAAGCTGTGCTTGCCCACCCAGAGCAAGCAATCACGCTGAGGAGGAGGAAACACGACCTCCCTTCCCCAGGTGTGAGGTTTGCCAGCTCAGTGATGTGATGACATCTTGTGTCGACTTGCACGCACAAGCATTTTCCACACCCAGATTATTCACACAGAAGCAAATGCTTCCCCACCCTTTCCAGACACATTTTTGAATGGTTTGTTTGAAATTTTGCCAACCTGGAAATTGGTCCATTAAAAAACCTGAATATACAATGCAGCAGCCTTGGAGGATTAGCATGCCTGTTTGCTGCTTTCCAGTGATTTCAAAATAACCATGGGTTCCAACAGAGGCAGGCTGAGCTTCCAGAATGAAAATAGAGCAATTTAATTTTCTAGTCCATTAGCTGCTGCAGCTGTCTAAGATTTTTGGCATTCCAGACACCAACTCCATTGCCAAAACCAGTTACTCAGCTGCTCCTGAGAGTCTGAGGGATCTGGGATTTACCTAGAGAGTCTATAAACCCTTGAAGACACTCCTTATCCTTGACTAATTGTATCTGCCCATCTCAATTATAATGCCTGAGCAATGGGAAAGTGAAGACCCAAATAAACTAAAATTAAAGACAAGGTTTAGTCAGTTCCTCTGTGCACTCATGACCCAGCTGTGTTTGCTATTTCCCCACAGTTTGCCCTTTGTATATCAGATTACATTTGAGACAAGTGAGCCACTCATTATTTTCAGCAGAATCTCTTGCTGTCTTCCAGACTGGCAATACCACTGAGTAGAGGTCAGCTCTGGAGGTGAGTGGTTGGTAAACAGATCCAGCTCATGAAACATGTTCTGCAATAACACTTGACATATATTTTAACTTTAGATGCAGCTTTTTGTACTTGAAAACTCAAGACTCAGCCTTGAACCATCACTCAGTTCTCTTCTTGCCTTTATAGCAAAACTTTGAACAGATGACTTTTTCACAGTTTTTGAGACTAGGTAGAGGATCCTGGTGGGATTTTTGTTTTGTTTTTGTTTTTGTTTTTTTTTTTCCAAATTTAACTTTCAATCATTTGCAATTAACCTTGCTTCCAAGTCCAAAGGGACCAGAGAATTTCCTCCCTCTTGTCTTGAACTTCTATTTATGAGCTGCACACAGGTCTGATTACACAGACAGAAGAGGTCTGAATTTAATTTTTATCCCAGGGCTCAAGTTTTCAGCAGAGGTGCTCATATGCTAGAAAAGCTCCCAATGGGATGTGGCTCATGAAAATGAAAATTTGGAGCTCACATGGTTGATTGCATTGAGGACAGGCCAGGTGCTCTGCAGGGGCACAACTTAGACCCTCCCAAGGGAAATGCTCAAGGGATTTGAGCATTAATAATAATAATAATAATAATAATAATAATAATAATAATAATAATTTAGCAGAACAGCCCCAAAACACTTGGAACTTTCTTATTCCCTGAAAAAGCAAATCTAAATCTCTTCTGGTGAGGTCAGCTCATGAATTATATCCAGGAGCTATTGATGATATCTAATTTAATGTTAGATAAATCTTTCTGATTGCCAGCTCAGAGAGGTTTAACCTCACAGAAGCTTTTTCTCTCTCTGTTTTCCAGGAGATATTGAACCACCTTCAATGTGCCATGCTCTTGTCTCCCTAAAATACTTCCCATATATCTGTGGTTTATTCCTTGCAGTAACCCTAGCAGTTGCCATTGGCCTGGGTGGTGAGTACCATTAGTTATTTATTAAGTTCTCACTTAGCCATTCAAATGCTCAATTTTTCATGAGCCTTTTACTGAGAATGGAATTAAACTGCTACTGTGGCTTGTTTGTGGAAGTAAAAAATCTTGTTGAGGTGATGGCTTTAAATTTTATTTACATGTAGGGATAAAATAGGTCTGGCACTCCTGAGAGGATTGGTGTAATATTTACAACACTGGGGAACCTGCAGCTTCAGGAAACCTTTCTCTAGAAAAAATTTTTCAGCTCCCCTCTGGCAATGAGCTGAGTTTAGAAACTAGGGGTAAAAAAGCTCCTGTGGGTAGCCCACACCATATTTTTGTCTTGTAATTCACTTTCTAAGTTTGCTTTCAAAGAATTAAAGAACTTCCCCTATCCAAAACAACTTCTATAAAGGAAAAGAAAATGCAGAATGAGTTTAGCTGTGGCTGGGAAGTGTGACCTGCCCAGGTCCAGGGGTTGTTGTGCCTCCACACCTGGAATAGGGAGCAGCTCGTGGGAGCTTGAGGCATCCCCCGGGGAGAGCGAGCACTGGATGTGTTTTCCAAGGGTCTCCCCAACTTCCTGCTGAGGGTCTGAGGCACCAGGCAGGAACTCACCCTCGAGTGAAATTTAAACTGTGCAGAGGGAGCTGGGAAGAGTCAGCACATACAGCAAGGCTGACTCCTCCTGCGAGTCATTACTAATAAATGAGTTTTAGCAGCACCACGTAGCAACCTCCAGGTTGTATTTCAAAAGTTCCTGGAGTACAGGAGCTGGCTTTTCCTTAGCAAGACTGAAATCTGGACAGATAATGGAATGCAGAACTGTTAAATTAAAATCCAAGTGTGTTTTCGTTGCCCTGTGTTCTTTCATTCCTTTTAGTCCAGTACAACTGCATTGGGAAATTTCGCTGTCGATCATCCTTTAAGTGTATCCAGAAATCAGCCAGGTGCAATGGTGTCTTCAACTGTAAAGAAGGGGAGGATGAGTACAGATGTGGTAATTCAATTTTGATTATAAATCCCTCCTACCTCCTCCTGTAGAAGTGGCAAGTTATCAAAGAATGCTTGTTGTAAAGATTTTGGGTGAGACTAGAAAGACAGAGACCAATGGAATATCTAAATCACCCTTTCAGAGGAACAATCTCTCTGAGGTACTGACTTACAGTTTATGAAAAATCAAACTACTTTTTAGATAAATGTGATGAATATGGTTACTGCCATTTTTGATAATTTTCTCCATTAGAAGCCTAGATGCTTTTTGACTGCTCACATTTCTTCTTCCTGCAAGGTGTAACCCCACTGCCTTATGATGTGTAAATACAGAATACTCTGTATTCACTGGCACACCGTTGTGCTGTGTCAGTTTTGAAGATTGCAAAATCCTGGTGTTATCTTAAAGGATGTGGGAATGGGAGAAAGCAGCCTTTTGTGCATTCAGTGCTGCAGAATTTGCTGCTTCACGTGTGAGATGTATAACTTCTTTCTGAATTTCTTTATGTGGTAGTTTTGGGAATCACAGGGATGCTTTAAATTGTCTGTGTGGTATTCACAGGTGGCTGTCGTGTTCACAGCCCCTGGAGGGAAAGGATTCTAATGTTAAACAGAATAACTGGGTTTTAGCTCAGTGCATTTTTAATCCTGGCTCCTGTACCTACAGGTAAGGAGGCAGCACAGCTTTCCCTCTGTGCAATAGTGACAAGAACCACGAGGTTTTGGCCCCAGCTAACCCTACACAATGTGTTCAGCATTTGGAGAGCTTTCCCCAGGGAGGCTCGAGGTGTCTGTGGAGCCAGTGGCAGCACCTCTGCTTTTCCTGTCTTCCTTTGCAATTCCATAACACTGGAATCGTGGGAACGTGTGGGAAAGCCCTGTTCAGCAGCGACCACGTGCATGGCCTCCCTTCTCCCTCACAGATGTGCCCTTTCCCAGGTCCAGGACAGCTGGGCACAAGTGCATCCACCTGTCTGACAGAGGATGTGCTCACCACCTTCATCCCTTTCCCTCACCATGGGTTTCCTCAGGGCAAAGCATCTGCAGCTCCAGCTCGCTGCAGTCACCAAGACTTGCTTAAAGCTCACTGGAGGGCCAGGCAGCTTCCACCACCTGTATTAGAGCTGGCATCCCCATGAGCAAAGATTTTTTTTTTCCCCTAGCTGTCCTCGCTCAGAGTACCTTATTTCCCTTCTTTAATGGAAGGGGAAAAAACAAAAAAAGCACAGAAAAATTCTGTCAAAGAATCCAAATGATGAGAAAGATAAGCAGTGAGCCAGAAAACCCAGACACCAGAGCGGTGCCTGGGCACTGCCATGTGCCTGTTGTGTGCCTGATGTTCATCTTCACAGCTCACTGAGGCTTTTCTTGTCCTGAATCCCAAAGTCAGGCTGAGTGGGAAGAGGGCAGTGCTGCAGGTGTTCACCTTCGGCTCCTGGCGCACAGTCTGTTCTGACGACTGGAGGGCAGAGTATGGCAACACCACCTGCAAGCACCTGGGCTTCTCCAGGTATGGACACCCCTGCCAGCAACTTCATTGGGCTTTAGGAACAACCTCTGAGGTCTTCAGTCTTTCTAACATAAACCTTGTGCTAGTTTGTGCCTTAAAAATGATTTGACAGTCCACCTTTGTGAGTCACATCATTGAGGAGATTTGAGATTATATACATGGCAAATACCTTTTATTATTGCTATAAATCCTGCATGATGGCTGAATACAGTGGCTTGGATAAATCTTCCCTGTGTGATGCAGGTGTCCAAATCGTATTTGTCACTCTAGTGGCTTTTAGAGAGGCACTAAAAACATATGAGCATTTTCAGTTCTTTTACTTCCCCTGAAGGTAAATTGTATACACAATTCATGTCATGACATCTGATAGGATTTAAGCTCCACCTCATAATTAGAGAAGAACATGGCAAGGCAGTTCTTGCTGGGTTGATCTCATTCTGGAAAAAATACCATTTATTTCATGAACTTGCATAAAACAGAGAAAGATTTGGAGTCATGATTTGGCATAATGCTCTGTTATTTCTTACCATGGCATCATTCTGATTTCTGCTATAGTTAGCAGTATAAAGATGCTTTGTATAAATTCGTGTTGCCTTTAGGATAAAATACATATCAATTTTTCAACAAAGAAGAGAAGAAAATATTAAAAATTATTCATCCTCCCTGCCACAAAACATAACTCTAGAAAAAGGAGAAAATGAGCTTGTAAGTGGCTCAGGAAATATGCCAGCCACTTACAATTAAAAGCTTCATTGTGATATTACAATTAAACTTTATTTTCTCTGCCAGTTAAATGCATCTCAGCATGTGTGGCTTCCACACATGATTATGTCAAAAATACATGCACGTGGTAAGGAGCATAGGGGGAGGAAATAATTACTTTTATAGAATGCCAGCATCTGATCATTGTGGTTTTTCATTAGCAGAACTGGTGAATTATTTAAGCAGATTGCTGCAATGCTGTCTGGGGAAGCTGTGTTTTTGGTTTATTTGCAGTTATGTGAGCTCAGGTGACCTGCCCGTGGCTGCAGTTGAAAAACAGTTCCAAAGACATTTCGTATCCCTCGGCCACTGGTTCTCAGCTGATCAAGGGACATCCCTGCACAATGCCACCAACCTCAGGTATGCCTCAGTGCTTCGGGAAGACAGCAATCAACAGAAGGGGACTTACTGATAGTTTGGGATTGTTGCTTTTTTCTGTTTTTTCAGTCACGTAGGACTTTGTGTTTGGTGGTGTTACACACGTTAGACTGAGTTTCAACAGCACTCTTTCTGGAATATAAACTGAGTCTCATCCAAGACCCATTAAAATCAACAAAGGCTTTCAAATGAGCTGTTTGAAATGACTGTCCCATGATGCCATTTTTGCAAATGCATTGGCACCAGGCACCTCTGTTTTTCCATTATGAAGCAGTTTGTTTCAGTTTGCAGACCATTACACGTTTCCCAGTGGGTTTATGAACCCTTTATAGTCCATTTACTCCTGATGAATGCTGGTTTTTCTTAGTTACCTTCCAGTGAAAAGGGAGCAATGGATCCAAGGAGACTCCAGATCTTCCCTTGTGGAAGAGTGAGCCCCTCTTCAGCAGGGCAGCAGATGGTCTTCAGCCAAGCTCCCAGTTTCAGTACTCCAATTAAAGGTCTTGATTAGATTGGATGAGTTCATGCCTTTGTACCTCTTTCAATGTATGAGTTACTTATATTTATGTGCACAGGAAAATGATATAATATTGAAAAAACCACAAGGTATTTGTGAATTGGGAGTAATGCTGCTCTGTCTTCTCATCTCAGGGAGGAATGCACTTCTGGCAATGTGATCATCTTAAAGTGCTTGGGTAAGAATCAGAAAAAGTGAAAATAAAAGCAGAAACTCTCCTTCTTTATCCACTGCACAGAAAGAGTTGGGAGCAACTGTGTACTCAGGGCATATTATGCTATCAGCTTATCACATTGAAGAAAAATTGTATTTTTTATGTAAAATTTGAAAAAAATTCAGAAGGTGAAAATAGGCTTGGAGGGCAGATTGGGAGCATGAGATAGTGAGAGCATTTCAGTGAGAATCCCAGTAGGAAGTGTATATTTAAGGACTGTGTGTTGAGTCCATGGGCTCACACTGTAATTCCAAGTCTTTGGCATCTTGGCAGGAAAATGGAAATTCTGCCTTAATGGAATTTCCATCCCACACCTCTCCATGCCACCTAGTTCTCAGATTGAGATACAAAAAATCAAAATACAGCAGCAAAATCACCACGAGGTGATGAGAGGAGATGCTTGAGCCTGTGTGTGTGTGACCCTGAGGATGAAGGAGAGCAGAGCAGGGGGGTTTCAGAGCTCAGCTGAGCACTGCACCTGCATGGAAGGGAGAGACACGGACCCCACAAACCCCAGGCCATGAGCAGGGATGGGAGGGAGCAGGAGAAACCTCTGGGATGTGGCCATGGGGATGGGGTGGGGATGCTCCAGCTGCAGAGACCTCCCACCCCAAGCAAGGCTGGGAGGAGAGGGGCTGGATGTGACCCAAACCAGGGCTGTGTTTCCTCTCTGGAGTGCAACCTTTGCTTCCTGGCAGCGTGTGGGACCCGGGCCAGCTACGGGCCGCGGATTGTGGGGGGCAATGCGTCGTCCCCCCGGCAGTGGCCGTGGCAGGTCAGCCTGCAGTTCCAGGGCCACCACCTGTGCGGGGGCTCGGTCATCACCCCGCTCTGGATCCTCACGGCCGCCCACTGCGTCTACGAGTGAGTGCCCAGATGTGATCCCTGCTCCCCAAACCTCCTGCTCCCAAATCCTCCTGCTCCCCAAAACCCCTGCTCCCCAAACCC